CCCCCCCCCCGTGAACATATGGCGGAGTTTGATCCATGCTAATCTTTAATTTCACTTTTTATTAATTACTCCATATTCAGTTTTGTCAAAACATTAAATATTAATAGTTTTACAAAACATTAAATTTATAAATCATTTATTTAGTTCAAATAAGATTTATTTTGTATTAGTTGAATTGATTATTTTGCTTGATTCGAATAATACTTTAGAGTTTACTTTTACTCAAAGGTGATGCGTAACATTTGTAAAATATATTCGTCTAATTAAGCATTGTCACTTAGTTCCTATTGTTAAATAGATAATCACATGACACTCGTTTGAATGTAGTATTTCGCTTCTGTCTAAAGATGATGCGCAATATTTGTGTACTTCAAGCTAAATATATAAAATGTCTTATTTCTTTCCAAATGTGATGTGTTACATTTAATTTTCATGTCATAATTTTATTGTTCATAATACTTAAATAATGGTTCATAACCATAGTAAAAGTCATTTGTTTAAGTTGAGTTAAATTTAGTATATTATTTTGGCATTGTAATGGACTTTTATCATAGCTTAATTAAAATATAATGGTCCCCATCTTCACCCATATTAGGTCACTGCCCCTTAGACCACCATAAGTTATTTAAATTATATATCATATTTCTCTTATCTAAACCCCCGTCAGCCCTAAATATGAGAATTGAAACTTTGAATGGTGCAAACTTTTATTCATGAAAGGATTCAGTGATGCTAACTCTAGACATGTTGGGCTTTGATGATGCACTGGGAGAGGCTACCCCTCCCAAGTACTGTTGAAGATAAGATAGTAAAAGAGAAATGGGAGTGATGCTACTAAATGACTCTTATGCTCATTAAAAACCCTATCAGCATAATCATTAGAAAAGCTATTCTAGATTCACCTAATGCTAAAATTTATCTGGCTTCTATCGATGAACAATTTAAATCAACTTCTAAGGCGCATGCAATATTCTCCTTAAAAAACGGTGACTACAAAGCATGATGGGAATAATGGCATTAGTAAACACATCATGGTAATGAACAACATGGCCTGTAAGTTTGAGGTATTAGACATGGCGATCAGTGAGGGGTTCTTGCTTCACTTTATCATGACTTGTTCCTGCATCTTTTGAAGCTTTCAAGGTCAACTGCAACACCATAAGGTTAAGCGGTCTATTGTAGTTGATTCCTGTGTGCCTACAAAAGATAAAGCGTTTGGACCTGGAAAAACTAGATGTGGCTTACTTGATGACTGCTAAAGCAAAGAAGAGGAAGAGTCATAGGCAACAATTGACAACAACATTTACTATGATGGTAGAATGGATTGCTCTTTACAATGAAACCTGTCATAGCATGTTGTTGACGCCATTTCTAGACTGTTGAAGCTTTATTATATCGTGATAACTTAGCCATCGCTAGTTTTTTTTTGAACAATAATAGTTTGGTTTAGACTTAAAATGAGTATTAAAATCTGCTCAAACTTGATGCTCATCATTTATGATTACTCGGCGTCTCGGCCTAGTGGGAGAATGCAAGACACATTTTTTATTGTGTAGCTCTTTTTCCAGCCCATAACGAATAGGCTCTATATGAGTACATACTTGTCTTACCAATGACGCTCTAAAAAGCTAATTTACTTGTTTGGTCAGTTGTGAGCGACCCTTAGAAATCAGGAACATGATTCGTTTTGAGTAAATTTCATAATTAATCCTTCATAACAAAGAGTTTTTACATATTTGGTCTTCTATTATCAAGTATTGTTATGGTAGTTCTTGTTTTTATGCGTAGCTTTCCAGAAATAGTATTTTTTTGATCTTTTGTCATGTTAGTTTTGAGAGCTAAAAGTGTATTTTCCCAATCATCATATATCTCTTTTGTCATACACAAATATTTTCCCAAATATTTGTCATCCTTACAATTGTTCTTACGACTTATTAAGAAAATAAGTGTTCGGAATCTTCACTTCACTTCACTTCAAAAAATTCTGCGTAGGGACGATGAACGTTGAATTTGAAAATTGTAAAATTCTTGAAACAGAAAAAAGGAAAAGAATCACGAGGAAGTAGGACAAGCGGAGCAATAACATGGAAGAAGCGAGTAACATTTAAAACTTCTCCGGTTGGTGGAGGCGGTGACCTCGTTGGAATGAGCGACGTGGGACCCGGCCAAGTTTTAATTATTTAACCAAGGTGGAGTTTATTGAGGTGTTTTGTGTTAAATTATTGAAACAAAAAAAAGGAAAAGAATCATGAGGAAGTAGGTGCATGCGTGAATACATTGATGCATTGTAAGTAATTTTGCATGTGAAATACGCCGTGGGTCTTCATGTGGGATGTGCATGGCTCTTCAAGCCCACCTACAATCTAGGTATGCAACCCAAAGGCTGCTTAGAAAGACTCAATTGCCTCATCTCTGACGGCGGAGAATATGGTATGCGGGTGGTAGAGCACCTTGAGAATAGCAAGGTCGGCGTCGTAAAACCTCACATGTCTGATAATCGAAAGTCGCAGGAATGACGGGGAATCAGCTCGAAGATAGGATTACGACGATGAAGATTTGTTGGCAAACGATGAAGATGAGTATTGGGATTAGCAAAGAGGAGCCGAGTGAGAGAAGAGAAGCGAAAAACGACTTCGAAAATTAATCCGAAAGTAAAATTCCAAAAATAAGGCTTGATTTTCCATTTTACCACGAGTTCATTTTCTTTTGACCGTATTGTCCTATCTTGCCAAATACTAGAAAATAGGGAAAATAACTTCCGTACGTCATTTTCCCCCTTTCCAAATGAACCCTAAATTAAAAATAAAATTGATCAAGTGTTGCAATTCAATTCGGGACGGGAGTGTATTTAGTAAACCCTTTTTTTAACCCCAATTACTACTCCCTCCTAATTAATCACCTTTTTAAAGACAATCTCCAATAAATTATTAATCACATCAAGTACTAGCCAACAAAAAAAAGCCACTTTTCTGTTCTTTTTTTCCTATAAGAAATTTTTATGGTTCAAGATAAGTCTAATCCAATAGAGGAAGTAACAGGCAAAAAGAGACCCTAAGCTAGGAATAGGCTTGACCAATTCTCATTGCAAGATGGGAGCATCCTTCTGATCTAATGAATGAATCACAGACAATCATCATCATCACAATGAGTTGAAAATTTTACATTCGAATTACAAAATACACGCAGAGCTTTATTTAATCTTACAGACAATATTGCATGCTCTCCAAATGAATAGAGAGCTTACTTCAAATGCATTTTAAGTAAACATAAGCAAATTGCATAACGGTAGTAGTTGCATCATCACTGCACTTCATATCTTATTATGAAACAGGCAAAATCATAAACATTACAGATTAAACATGACCTTGATAGCATTGCCACCGCGAGCACTGGCTTCGAATGCTTCTTCAACTTCCCTTTGAGAGAACCCGAATCTGTGCGTAATGAGAGGTTTCACATCGATTTTTCCACTCCTCATCAACTCTATACAGAGAGGCCATGTGTTCTTGTAGCGGAATACGCCAATCACATCAACTTCCCTGAACATCATTCATTATTTTAGAGTATATACAACAACAATTAACGAGAACAAATTAAACCCAATACAATCCAAACTCCGTTGGGGTTTGTGGGGTCAAGAAGTACGCAATCTAACTCTTCTAAAAGAGAGAGAGGTATTTCCCGCTAGACCCATGAAGCATTACTTTATATCATACCAAAACATCATAGAATGTAAGAAGCCAAGCATGGTTCTGTTTTCACTTGGTCCATTATTTACTTGAAGCTAAAACATTGTCAAAAATGACTCTTTTAGCTCCTTCGGCATGGATGCATATTTAATAATATGTTTTATGAAGAGAAACAAAGGAAGGAATCGGAACTACATGTAAAAGCGTTTTGTGTCAAATTACAAAAAATAAGGTGAAAACCCAATTTGTTTACCGACCTAGCAGCAGTTGCTGCGAGAGGGATTGTCATGTGTTCATGACCCATACCAATAAGACAGACTTTGCCACCAGAACGAGTTGCACCAAGTGCGGTGGTCATAGTTTTATCAAAGCCTGCACAGTCAAAGCTCACATCGATTCCAGCCCCGGTGGCTTCTTTGATCTTTTCAATTTCAGCAGCCGCATCCTAATAAAGTGATCAAACCCATGCCAACAGCTTAGAATATACTTTTACATAAAGTAACGCCATCAAACATAGTAGAATTGATTTTTACACTATGGAACTAAGAGGTAGCAATTGGATAATCACCCAACTAAGAATATCAGTAGAAACACCTCAATCACATTACTGATTAAAAAATAGGATTCATGGATCTTAACAAAAAAAGAAATCTACCCTACTAGGAGTAAAAGATAAAGAAAGTATCAAAATAGGAGTTACATGTTGTTAACCCAAAAATAGGATTATAACCCTGTGGCAATTTTGCACTGTATATTGGTATTCCATAGTGTTTTTTGGTATTAAATGCTAACACGATTGGTAATGCAATAAAAAGCATGCTTGGTTAAAAACTGAGCAGCAAATTAATTGAAGGGCGCGAGATACCTGAATATTTGATGAGACCTTGATGACCTCATCTGCTCCGAGCTCCCGTGCAACAGATAGGCGGGCCTGATCCACGTCTGCAAGAATGATTTTTGGGGCACCAAAAGCACGAGCTGCAAGCATGGTGACAAGACCTATAGGCCCTGCTCCCATTACCAATACTCTTGTCTCAGGACCAATGCTTGCACGACGACACGCATGAACGCCGACACTCAAAGGTTCACACATCGCCCCTTCCTCCAAACTCAAATCATCAGGTAGTTTAAAGCACAGATGTGCAGGATGCACCACATGATTGGCAAGAGATCCATGAACAGGTGGAGTAGCAAAAAACTTCATCTCGGGGCACAAATTGTATCTTCCTTCTTTGCAAAAATCGCATCTCCAACAACTGATTCCTGGTTCTAGAGCCACCCGGTCACCCGGGAAAAGTGTCTCAACTCCACTCCCAACCTCTTCAATGATCCCAGCGCACTCATGCCCAATCACCATTGGTTCTTTCACAATATAGCCTGCACATCTCATGTGCTGCAAATTCAACATAGAGTATAATTTTAGCATTTCACCATTCTGTTAGAGTATATATATATATATATATATATATATATATATATATATATATATATATATATATATATATATATAAACCTTTCCTCGGCCACAACCACAAGGTTGAGCTTTTAGTTGAGTTGGAGATATAGGCCCCGTTTTGCATCTGCGTTAGAGGTGAGCTTTAGCGTTTTGAAAAGGCTATCTGACGGTAGCCTTTAACGTTAGCGTTTTCCGAATTCATCTACACCATTAATATTTTTATCCAAAACGCTAACGCTAATTGAAAACGCTCTTCCCAAACAAGGCCATGGTATAATACTAACGCTTCACCTTAAGGTAGTGAACATCACTTCCACATATGCCCACAGCTTTTATCCTAACCCTAACATCATGGGGTCCTGGAAATTTTCAGCGTAATCAAAACAACACAACGGATTATGGATAGTTGTTGTTATAAAAGAAGAAAGATTCAGTTCTCATGAAGAAGAAAAAAGCAGAATGGAAGATAGAAGTACCGAGAGGGGGAAGGTGGAAAGGCTGAATCTTTATGTCGTTGACGCCAACAAGCCAGGCAGCCAAGTTTTCTTCCCCTTCTTTACCCATTCGGCTCCAATTCCTCCAAAGGATTTGTGCTCGGTGGGAGTGTCTTCTATGACTCTATCACTTCTATCCTTATCTGAAAACCTGAAGCACAGACCAATTTCTCTATTGGAGTACGAGAGCACCTTTGTCCATTTCCCCCAATTTCTACTTTCTTTCTCTTATTTTTAGTTCCACTTCATTTTATTTCATGATTTTTTTTAGGGCAATGCTAGGGGTACACCAACATGGGGTACCCCAAGTGTACACCAAGTCAACACAGACACACACAGACACAAAATGTCCGTGCAACACAGACACTTTGTGTCTGTGTGTGTCTGTGTTGGTTTTGGTGTACACTTGGGGTACCCCATGTTGGTGTACCCCTAGCTTAACTCTTTTTTCTATAGCACTTTAATAATTTTTCACACTTGTTATTTCTAAAATGTTAGATTCCACATGTCATAAATTTATTTTATCAACATAATCTTTATTATTGTTTTAAAAAACAAAATTTTTATTATACTGAACCAAGATACCTTATTTTGACAAAAAAACTTAACTAAAATTTATATTTTAGTTTAAATAAAAATACATTTACCCAAACTTTTACTTTATAATTTATAAATTTTAATTCACATATAAACTATAAATTTTAATTCACATATAAATTGAATCATTTTTTATGAAAAATAGTGTGAAATTAAAAATAAAAATTACATATTAAAATCTATATCAAAAGATTTACAAAACTAGATGTGACATTACTATATTATTTTATCAAATGGGTAACGAAAATAGACCAACAAAGTGAATAAAGTTTAATTCGGTAAAAAGTGAACGGAAACATAATTTTTTGAGGAATGGAGTATTTAAATACTACAGTAATATTTGTAGAACTTCGTTATTCGTGTTGTGCCTTTTGGCAACATGTGGTTATGCTACTTCCTTCTTAAACTCCTTGGTCTTTGTACTCATTTGTAATATAATAATACCCCCGGTATGCATATATTCCTGTGTTTCAAAACATAAGCAACACTTCATTACTTAAAAATTTCAGGAACTTTTATTTATTTTTGCATTTTCATTGATTATTTGATAGAATAAAATATTCTTGTAACACTTGTTTTGTAGAATTTTTGACGTAGTTTTTAAATATGTAAATTTATTTTTCATTTGTAGACCATTCTTTGAAAAAATTCAAAAAATTATTTTGTTTAGCGTAATGTTGCTTATATTTTGGGACGGAGGGAGTATTTAATGACATGCGATCCTAAGTTTCCATGTTGTACACATCATTGACCGCTCACTTTATAATTGAATATACGTTTACTTTGAAGGGAGTAAATTAATTATAGAATCTATTTACATAAACACATTCAACAATCCGTAGTCCACACACCCCGCATTAGAGCATCTCCAATCATGTCATTTTGACTTGCTAAAAGTTATAATATAGCAAACCACCCCGTTTTTCTTTTCTCCAAGGGGTGTGCTATACTTTAACATGCTTGTCAAAAATTAAGTTTGGCTTGCTAAATATATCAAGCCAATCAAATTATAGCAAGTCCATCCTCCACTTTGAAATTAAGCATCTCCGTTGAAGTTTGCACCATAGAACATCTACGTTTCTCCTTCAATCTTTGTCCTTTGAAACTTAAAATATAGCAAGTTATGATTGGAGAATAGGACAAAAAATAATTTTCTATATTACTATTCACTTGTTAAAAGACAACAATAGAAGGCCAATATGACAAATATGGTTGGAATAGTCATCAAAACGCGTCTAAGAAAAACTGCAGGGCTAGATGTTGGAAGAAACTACAAGGAGTTGAAAGAAATTGGAAAGAGTTGATTTTTTTGGAAGAAGTTGGAAAAAAATGGAATGTGTAGTTTATAAATATGTACATTTTATTTTTTACTACCTCCGTCCAAAAATTATCTTCCCGTTGCGTTTTACGATGTTTGACTAAAACAATTTTCAAATCATTTTATATGAAAAATAGTGTGAAATTAAAAAATAAAAATTACATATTAAAAAAGTACATCAAAAGATCTACAAAACTCGATGTGACATGACTATATTATTTTATCAAATGAGTAACGAAAATAGGACAGCAAAGTGAATAAAGTTTAACATTGTAAATAGTGAATGAGAAGATAATTTTTGGACGGACGGAGTATTTCAATACTAATATTTGTAGAACTTTGTTATTCGTAAACGACGGTTCTGGTACCGGACCGGCCGGTCTCGGTCACCCCCAATTTTTTTTGTTTACTTTTTTTAAATTTTTAAAGTGTAAAATTGTAAATGTGCAATTGTTAAAGGAAAAAATGAAATAAAAAAATCTAAAAATGTAGTTGTTATTTAAATATTGTAAAATGAGTAATACACGAACTGAAGAACAACTATATTTAATATCTCGACGGTTCAAAAAAAGCGACGAGGTAAAGAACCGTAAAGAAACCCTCGAAGGAGCTTATATATCGCTCACCTAAAAAAACTAATTACATATCTACCTTAACATAAAAAATTTATAACTTATTCCTCAGAACTCGGGATTTCATCTGTGGTTGCATTCATGTAATGTTCGAAATTGAATTCGTATCCTGACTCTTGAGCTCGATGTTGGAACACACTTTGTACGATAAACTAAAGTCGTGTTCATTTCTGACAGGTTTTGATAATTGCCAAACCGCCGTGGATATAAAGAGTTTTTGAATAACTCAAGGCGTGAAAAATGGCTTGGAACAAGACCAAAAAGACTCAAGGACAAGATCAAGAATTGAAGATTTAGTCGAGTCAGTCTTTTGTGATCAAAACCGACAATAAATTCAAGTCTTGGTTCTCAAAAAGTCAAAATAATTTTTACAAATCATAAAATATTTTTTGTGCATCAAAACAAACATTTTTGATGATTTCTTTTATTGTTAAAATCCCTGGTCCTTGCTCAGAACCGAAACCACCTAAGTCGGCATTCGGCTTTCGGCGCCCGAACCAACTCCGTGCTTTTCAATATTTTAAACCATGTTTTTACCTCTGAGCATTTTTAAAATGTTCCCAAATAATTATTTTATAAAAACCACTTTTGTATCTTGGTCAATTGGTCTAACACGTGAAAAACGGTCAAAACCGTACGCACGTATTGTACGACCTTGGAGACTTGGTTTTTACCAAACAAGTCTTGTTTTCACTATTTTATACCATATACAATATTTTTCAAACCTGGTTTTTACTTTTGGGAACACTTCGTTTTTGGACCTCGGTTTTTCAAAACAGGTTTCAGCTGGCTAGACTTTAGCTGGGTGATAATCGATTATCACCGTAGTGACAATCGACTATCAGCCCCTGCAGCTTTGAACTTCCAAAGTTCTGAAGCTCGCAATAATCGATTATCACTTATGCAATAATCGATTATCAGTCTTTGTAGCCAAAACCCAGAATCTTCTAAGAGGACCAATAATCGATTATCACTTCTTGACAATCGATTATCTGGGTTACCGTTGTCCTCCAACGGATAGAATTTTAAATTTTTGGACAAGGAATCTTTTGATAATCGATTATCAAGCTTGGATAATCGACTATCAGCCTGTGTCCCTGAAAAAATTTGTCTTCATCCTGTTGGAAATTCTAGCAACGAGTTTATCCCATTTTGGGCTATAAAATGGCACCCAAATCCTCTCATTTTAAACACAATTCTTCAATGTTTCAATACTCTTTCATTGCATAATCATTCCTAATTTTCTTAGCTACTTGAGAGCCAATTCTTGAAGAAATTGTCGTGTTCTTGAGCGTTTACTAGTTCACTCATATCTACTCTTTGTGAGAGTTTTATTCCTGAGTGTTTAAGTGTTTTCATACACTTTAAGGGAGGTTGATCCCTTGTTGTAAACTCGAAGGAAGTTCCTTGTTCCTTCGTGAGAAGTCTTGGAGTGCGGTATCTCCGAGCAAAGGTGTTGAGGCTCGTGTGACTCGGGTTCTCAAGTTGTATCGGTTTGTTAAGCACCCTTAAGCTTAACGGAGTTAGTGTAGCTCGAGAGAGTCTCTCGGGGGGGCTGGATTAGCCACACATTATGGTGAACCAGGATAAAATTCGGTGTGCTCCTTCCTTACGCTCTTTACTTTAACGCTCTCGTTTTTAATTTCCTGCGATTTTGTTTTAAACGCTATTCACCCCCCTCTAGCGTTGGGACTTTATTCTAACACTCGACGTCTTGCCAAGAGCCAATCTCGGTTGCAAACAAGTGTTTCAAGAGATTCAATGCTAAGACAACTTCGAAAGTCGGTTAGAATGTTGCTACCAGCATTGAATTCTTGTTCCACTACTATGGTTGATATCAGGACGGGTAAAACTTGTCTTGCTAGCATTTCGAGACATGGGAACATGTGTTTGTTCTGCTTCCACCATCCGAGGACGTCAAACTCCACGTTGTCGTCATCGTCGTAATCACATGGCACCCCTTGGTACATAGCAAGTTCGTTGTGCGAGCTTACTGTTGTACCACTTGAACTCGTCGTCGAAGGCTGAGCACGCTTCCATTTCTTTGCAAGAAGCCCACCGACTATTCCTTTAAAACCTTTTTTTGATTTGGGGGGCGGATGAGGTGCTGTTTCTTTTGGTACATTACCGTAACCCTTGATATTCCTTAAATAAAGCCTCAAAAAGAGTTATAGCATTATCTCTTTCTTTTTCCCATTCTATTAAATGACTGTAGTAATAATTATTTTCATCTAAAAAACAATTGTAGTAATAGTCAATTAGAATTTTATAATTTTCAATCTTAAAGCGTGGATCACAAATAATACCTATTTTATAAATACCAGAAATGTATAAATAATAAGCACACCATTTATCTTTCATAGAAGAGACATAAGGGTACAAATCTAGATCAACCATACTTTCACGAAAACATGTTGTGATTGTAACGCACTCTTTAAAAATGTATTTGTAGTTGGTTGATAAACATGCGAAAAAGTAAGAGTTGCGTTATTAAAAACTTCTAATACGTCATTCAATTTTTCAACAATAACAAATTCAATATGTGAAATCATTAAAAGAAGTTCATCCCTAAAAAAATTCAGCAAGTTCCACTTCGTAGCTTAGAATCTTTGCTATCAACTTGTATGTATTATTCTATCTAATGTTGATATCTTTGGCAAATGTTATTTCTCTTCTACCCTTAGACTTACAGAATTTCGAAATAAGATGACTACCCCAAATCCCCCCCCCCCCCATAGCTTTTAATATTCATCAAACCGCCCCCCATATCTTTTAATCCCTGTTGAACACATAAATTTAAAACATGACAGGCACACCGTTGATGCAGAAATCTACCCATACTTGAAGTAGAGGGGAAAATTTCTTTAAGTCTAGAAATAACAGCAGTATTATTAGTAGCATTATCAAAACCAAATGCAAACACTTTATCAACTAAGTTGTATTCCCACAAAATACGCTGAAGAAAAGTATTTTCAGCAGTATGAGAATCATTAAAATCACGAAATGCAAGAACACGTTTATGCATTATCCAATCACTATCTATCCAATGACAAGTAACACCCATATAAGACAAATTATGATAATTTTCACCCCAAATATCAGAACAAATAGTAACACGAGAATTTAAATTGAGAAAAAATTTACCAAATTGATTTTTTCAACTTTATACTGTTGAATAATTTCTCGCTTAATTGTTTTCCTTGAAAAACCTCTTGCTTGAGGGTTTAATGCCTGTTGACAAGAATCAATAAATCTAAGTTTTTCAGAAAAAATGTATGGAAAATTTTCTTCACACATCATTTCGGCCATTTTTTGCTTATTTTGCTCGTCGATATAAGCAAAAAGGCCGCTCTTACCCCTGTTAGCAAACCGAGAAATTTGGGGTTGTACTTCTTGCCGTTCCTTCTTTTTCGCCACGTATTTGGCGTACTCCACGGGATACCTCGACCTTAGGTGTTTTTCCGGACCACCATAACCGCCGGAAACTCCCATTTTAATGATGGTGGCACAATATTTACAAGTTCCAAAAACTATGCCATCTTTTGTTTCTTTTTCAAAATGACAAACAAATAAATCTGATTTTAATTTTTTTACCTTTGTCCGGACCTTGAGAGGTCTCGGGCTCACCTGCCTCGTCGTCGACGTGCGGTTTAGGCTCCACGTCCCCGTCCATTCCTGCTTCATCAATGTCCTCAAATAAACTTTCAAGAGTTTCGAGATTCGCGTCGCCTTTACCTGACATGTAATGGTCGAATTCTTGATCCGTCAAAGCGTCGCCCATTAATTGATTGGGGATACTAGGAAAGGAAGAGACGGAGTGTCTTCCTCGAGAACCGCGTGAGGTCGAACCGTCGAAGGTGGCTTTAGCTTTGCCTTTCCTCGAACTTCGGTTCACAGCGCCCATATCCACGGACCTTCTACCGGACTCTCTTGACATTTTAATATATATATATATATATATATATATATATATATATATATATATATATATATATATATATATATATATATTGATAAAAAAGGACTATATTAAAATATTTATAATATTAATTATATATTTAATTTCGAAAATTTCGAAATTATAATATTAGTAAATAATAATATATGATAATTGATAATATGAATAATGAATGTATTTGTATATTATTATATATTAATATTTTTTAAAAACTTATATTATATATGAATTTTTTTTGACTATTTCAAACTATATTAAATATTTAAAAAATTATTTATATATTAAATTTCGAAAATTTCGAAATTATAATATTAGTAATAAACTAAAAATATATGATAATTGATAATATGAATAATGAATGTATTTATAGGTTATTACGTAATATATTAATATATATTTATATTATTATATGAATATAAATTGTATAAAAATTGAAAATAGATAATAAGATTGAGAGATTGATAGATTGAGAGATAGATTGAGTGTGATTTTTTTTTGAAAAATGATATAATTTATAGTAATTTACCCCCCTCTCCTCCCCCCTCCCCCACCTCAAACGGCTAAATAGCCGTTGAGGTTCCCCCCCATTAATTTTTTTCTTCCTTTTTTGCAGGTGTGGACCTTGAGAAAGCAAAAAAAAAAAAGGGGCCGGTTACCGAAAATTTGGCACCGAAACCGGTACCGAGGAGGGCGGTACCGGTTCTCAAAACTGGTGTAACGTCCGGCCGGCGGTGACGGTGGCGGGTACCGGCGGTACCGTTGCCGGTCATGGTACCGTACCGGTACCTTGTCCACCCCTATGAGAGAGTATATGTTTGTTCAACATGTGGTTATGCTACTTCTTAAACTCCTTGGTTTTTGTACCCATTTGTAGTAATATAGTAATATACTAATACTCCCCATATGCATATATTTAATGACATGCGATCCTATAAGGGTGTATTCAATTAGGATTCTGGTAGATTTTTTTAGATTCTTAATATCCGTAGATATTCAATTCAGAATTTAAAAAGTGGTGTAAAATCTGAGTGTATTTAATTTAGATTTTAAAAAATCTTTCTAAATATGATTGTATTTAAAAAGTGATAGAATTTTAAAAATTTTAAAAAATGTTGATTTTGATGGATTTTCAGGGTATAAGTACAAATCCAATATACAAATCCTATCATAATTCATAAGCCTTGAGATTTTGCGGACTCCTGTTCAGCTATTCTCTTCTTCCACACGCACGAACTCGTTTCATGACTTTCATCTTCTCCATCTTCATCACCTTCAATCCATCTTCAAGGTAAGGTCTTATCTATTGTTTAACAATTCATTTTTCTCTCTGGTTATCAATAACTTATTCAAATCAAGGTAAATTCAAACATGATTTTGGAGTTTTTTTACTGAATTTTTTTTATGTCTTTCAAACCCTAATTTCTGACCCAGACCATGAATCACCTTCGAGTCTCTGAATTAATCATTTTTGAAGATGAATGGCTTCGAGTTTTCACCTACCCTTAGTGTCTCTAATATTTTCACCTGAAAGAGCTCTCAATAATGGAGGCAGGTTTCACCGCGATGAACAGTGCTGCGCAGGGAGTTTTCTGGCCGTTCCTCCATCAAATTGATTGCTTTATGGCATCTCACGCAAAATTGAAGGACTTCCTTCTCAGATTATGAGCGTAATGGTCTTTTAATCTAAGGTATGAACATGGATTCCAATCTGATTCTAATAATCAACTGATTTGTGCAAATATTTGGATCCGTGTTACTGTACACTACTCGGACTTTTGAATGTGCTTTGCACCAGTCTTGGACCACGATTTTGTGTACTGTTTGTTGAGGGTGGAGCTGAGAATTTTGAGTTGTAGCACTGGTTTGGGGAATTGGGAATGGTGTTGGCATGGTTTGGGGCTGTTTTGCTGGATTTCTCTGCCATGCACTTCCTCGCTGCTGGCCAGGCTTTTACGGCTGGTTTGTGGCAACCAGAGTTTGGAAGTTACCTGGTTGGAGGTTCTCCACAAATCTCCTACTTGGTTTCTCCTTACTAGGGGAGGTCTTTGTGCAGATTTTCCAATAAAATCAGCTGGTTGCCACTGGTGTTACTGCCTGGTTCATTGCTTGCAGCTGTGCACCTAGGTATGACTGTTTTGTGGCGTTCCATATTGATGATTGGGTTTGAGGAACTATTATTGGTGATGATGTTTGGACCTTTTCTATGGCACATTACCTTGCTCGTGGGTTTTTGAGCTGGAATGTGGTTGGTTGCTGCTGGTTTTTGAGGATGGCAGACCTGCGCAAGGAGCTGCTCATTTGTGGTGTTCGTGTTGGAGTTTGGACTTGAGGAACTACTGGAACCAACAAACTGAATGATGAAGCTTGAAGGATTTGTGCACTGCAAATACCAGCCCATCTCACTTGGTTCTAGTTGTTTGTCTTCGCTGGAAAACTACTGGGCGCTGATAAGATGAATGAAAGAGTTATGTACTTTATTTTGAATGTTTTATGTAGTGACTTTATTTTGGTTGCGAGTTTAGAGTACTATTGGTTTATTAAGTTATTTTAAAATATGTTTGGCTTACATTGTTATTATATGTTGGTGTTGAACTTAATATACTCCCTCCGTCCAGTATTAATGTTTACGTTTTGACTTTTGGTCATTTTTATTGATAGTTGACTATGAAGTGAATTAGTCCAAAATACCCTTCCCATGTCTAGCTTCACCACACCACCAATTTCTGCAACCCCGTTGCCGCTAACCCCCCGTCAGCACCCTGTCTCCGGCAGCCTTCCTTCTGTCTCCGGCAGCCTTCCTTCGTGGCCATCCCCCACCACAATCATCAGTTTCAACATCACTGCCAACCCCACCATCTCTGCCACAGCACTTCCGTCGTCACCGCCAGGCGCCTGCCCTCCATCGCCTCCGTCCCCTATCACAACCACCAGCCCTACCACCGCTGCCAATCCCACCATCTCCGCCAGAACTCTGTCACCGCCGGCCCTCCAACACTGCTAGCACTTTCGCCGCCATCTCCCATCTCTGTGATTGCAGATCTGTTTAGATCTAGAAGAAGGATGGAGAAGGATGATGAGGAAGAAGAAGTCAAATCTACACAAAGAGAAAGAAGAAAAAAGAAAAGAAAAAAAATGGGGCGCTGGGAGGAGAAGGAAAAGAGAGAAGAAAGAGTGAGGATAAGAGAAAGAATGAAGATAAGAAGAGAAAGGTGCGGGTAGAGAAGGGTATTTTTGGAAGAGTATGGGTTAAAATTAGAAATGTAAACTTTATTTTCGGACGGAGAAAAAGGAGAAACGTAAACTTTATTTCTGGACAGTGGGAGTATTATTTTATGCTAATAAATTTATGATAATAATACTAACAATAATTTTTTTTAAAAATAATTTGTTTTCATTTATTAAGTTATTTTTAAAGATTTTTCTAACAAAATTCTTGTTAGAAAAAGTTGAATCTCTAAGCGCGGTCTGTGCGAAGCATGACATCATTCTTGGGATCACCCTTCAAAATTTATCCTAGCTCTATTGCAATATATAATACCCAATGTATTGTATATGGGGATTTATGGGAAAGCCTAGGGTTCCCCAAGTGGTGTACGCTATTTGTACCCAAAAACAAAACATCTCATTTGTACACAAAAGAATTCACACACACAAACACAAAAACTCAATGCCTGTACAATCCACAAACATTGAGTGTTTGTGTGTATCTGTGAATGCTTTGGGTAGAAATACAATACACCACTTCGAGTACTCTAGCACTCTCCATTGTATTTTGAATAACATGATCTGAAGAATATATAGGTACCCGGGCTCCCGGAGTACTCAATTTCGTGCAATTTTTACCTTGTACTTCCTGCCTTTCAGTGTATTTGTCCAGTTTGACTAATGGGAGTCAAAGCTAGAAGAACTTTGAATTCTAATTAAACAAAAAGTAGTATGAAAATGGTTTTATTAAATTTATCTTGTTGTCTTGTTGAAAACTTTAAATAATTTATTTGATTGAACTAATAAGCAATAAAATAAAAAGTAATTGAAATTCAAAATATTATTTAATTTAACTTAAAAAATTCAAACGCGACAAATAGATAAAAACAGGAGTAGCATTATTGAAGACAATAATACACCGTGCCGTACTGCAAAAAATAATTATTAGAATGTGAACAATCATACTCGAGAAATGACCAAAGACATATCCTTGTGAATATTCCATGATTGAGCTGAATTCAACAATGGCCGTGTAAATATTTCATTCCTCCAAAAAAATGTCACATTATGTAAAATGAAATAAATTTTTTAGTTTTTCAAATCATTTAAATAAAGATTACTAAAGAAATAATTTTTATATATATAAACACTCTCCCAACAACAACAACAACAACAACCCAGTTAAATCCCACAAAAGTAGGGTCTGGAGAGGGTGTGTGTACGCAGACCTTGCCCCTACTCGAAAGTAGAGAGACTGCTTCCAAAGAGACCCCCGACTCAACGTCAAAAATTGCATTGCTTGACTAACTGCTACTTCATTAATTAAAGAAGCGCATACAGTTTAGAGATCCATTTTGATTTATTCCATCACACCCCAAAGTCAAAAATGGTGAAATTTTGGCTCCATCGGAGATGATGGAAAATATATATATACTCTCCCACCGTCCTAAAATGATTTTCCTAGACACTGTTTACATGGTCAAATTTAAATTGCTTTCTTTACCTATTTTCGTTAGTTATTTGATAAAATAATACTCCCTCCGTTCCACAAAACCCTTCCGGTTTTGACTTTGGAGAAAAATAAGGAAAATGTAATTCTGGTTGACTTTCCAATTTTGCCCCTGATGTGATGGGAAAAAGTAAGATGTGATAGTTTGGTTATTAGTGAAAAAGTATGATGTGATAGGTAGGGTATGAAAAAGTAGGGGTAAAAGTGGTTTCAATAGAAAGTGAAAGTGTTTTGTGAAAAAAGCAAAAAAAACGAAAGAGGAAGAGTTTTGTGGAACGGAGGGAGTATTATTATATCACCTCTTATTTTGTAGACCTTTTGATATGGTTTTAAAATATATAAATTTTATTTTTTAATTTTACAACTATAATCAAATAAATTAAATTGATAATAATTACGGTCAAATCTCATAAACCGAACGGAAAAGACTATTTCAGGACGGAGGGAGTACAAAAATACTACGTCTAAAATTTAACAAAAGAAAATATCACAAAAATATTTTATTTTATGAAATAATCAATAAAAATCGACATGTAAATATAAGAGAGTGCAATCCTTAGCTCAAGACAATTTTGAATCACGGACTGGCATCTTGATAATATAAAAACCCGGCCCCTTTGAGCCAGAACTAATAACATACCATTTGTCTCTTTTAATTATTATATTTCCCCTTCCTCCAGCAAGAGAATCAAACCACATCGCGAAAAGAGATCGCTATTGTTGTTGACAACACCAGATCAGGTTTCACCAGGAACGTTGTTGATCCAGCTGCGAATTGAAGAAGCGTAATCGTGTTTTAGGAACATTCAGCAATCAAACCGGAAAGCATAGTAATACCGTAATCAAAGCATTACGTGGGTGAGTGGGTTGATAGTAAGTTTTACCATACAATATTTGCTCTTTCGTCCCAAAAAATCATTACCTTAGACTCTTTTGGTTAAATTATGCTACACTGTAATCACAAACGGTGAAAAAAAGTATATTTAGTTACAATATAAATTTAGTAAAATTTATATATTTATAAATACTCCATTTGTTCCAAAAAGATTATTTGGTCATGGGGTATGGTGATGGCAGCACCTGCGCGAAGGGAATAGGAAAGGCGGGTGCTCCTCCCGTTTTTTTCAGTTTCCTCTAGGTCTTTCTCTTTTTAAACTCCGCATATCATTTTGAAAAAAATTCTCTTTTTTAACTCCGTATATCTTTTTTAATTATAGTGCTTTCTTCAAATAGGACCATATATGTTTTATTCCATCTATGACACATATTTCTACATGATCTGTTATATATGCATTCATTGTCAATAAGTGTTGGATAATGATTGATTATACGAATGACTTTATGAATATGACCATTAGCAATAAGTGTTAGATAATGACTGATTATTTTAATAACTATTTAAATTGTTTTTAATAATATCTTATTCAACTTGAATTATGCAATATGTCATTTTTTCAAAGCCAGGGCATTTTAGAATTTTCCATTGCCAAATGAAAGAGTAAATAAGACTGGTCCTCTTTAGAGAAAGTGATATTTTTAAGTCTCATTTATGTAGATTTTCCCATGTTTTTCCTTTACTTTTTTTTTATTTGGTGCTCTCTCTCCCCCTCTCTCTCTATCCTTCTTTGCTTCTTACGAAGTTTGGGGAGTTTTTTGGTTGATGTCTTCCCTCTTTTTTTCTGCAATTCCTTTTTTATTCTTTAATTTTTAATTTGTTTTTGATTGTTTTAACTTTTTTATTTTTTCCCAGTTTAATGCTTTTTAATTTCCTTTTTTAGTTTTTATTTTTTAAGTTTTTAGGTTTGTATTGTTTAGTTGTATTTTATATTTTTAAAATAATTAATTTAAATAACAAAATGTATTGAAAAATAAAATTAAAAATAGAAGGAAAAGGGAAAAGAACGGGACCACATAGTAGCGAAGGGAAGTAAAAGAAAAAACTGACGCTGAGTTGGTAGTAGGCAAAGGAGGAAACGGGGAACCATTTCTATAGCCTTACCATTTCATTTTTTTGCTCAAAAGTGTGCAAGACATTGACCAATATTAACTATATCTTTGAATAACCAAATGTTATAAAAATTTGATGTATCAAAACTATATTTCAAAATTGATCTAATTTTACAAAATTGACATTGTAACAAAGTACACTTCTTTCACAGTTTATGATAGATGTTTAACATAATTAGATCAAATTAAAAAAGTCAAATTATGATAATCTTTTGTGGGATATAAGAAATATCAATTTGATATATCAATTTCTATACATTTTAAATAATTAAATCTATATATATATTTTATAATCAATTATTTCATAATTTAACTAAAAAATATATCGTGATATCATTTTAAGACCGAAGGAATATTTCAGGAATCATAGTAACAACGTGCTTCTTTAAAACACTAACTTTACCCATATGTGAGATCTCTGCATAATTGATGACAAAGTCTTTTAAGTAAAGATAAATTAAGCTTTAATCGTATTATACGTTAGTTTTTAAATATCAAGAAAGAAGCTAAGACATCTCGTTTATGACCCGCTCCAAAACTTTAAGGCATAAGGGCGTTTAGAGTGCATACCCTCTTCCCAAGGCCCTCCTCAATGTTCCTCACTACCACGTTATCATTTTCCTCGTTTTGTGCACAAAAAAAAAAAAACTTACTATCCTCATTTTCTGCACAAACTAAATCACTTGCAATACTATCACCATCTAACCTCGCATCTCTATTTACTTTATACTCCCTCCGTCCCTAAATAAAGTTCCATTTTTAACTTTTTGACCATTTTTAACTTTTTGAGGATTTAAAGGAGTGATATTTTGGTGTTGACTTTCCAAAAATACCCTTGATGTGATGTGTTAAAGTAAGATGTGATAGGTAGATTATTAGTAAAAATGTATGATGTGATAGGTAGGGTATGAAAAAGTAAGGGGTAAAAGGGGTTTTTTAAGGGAAAAGAGAAGTTTATTTAGAGACAAAGAAAAAACGAAAAAGGAACTTTATTTAGGGACGGAGGGAGTACTATTCATCACTTTTAGTTAAAGACTTAAATATTTGAAATTTAAAATTAGAAAAAGATAATTTAATGATAGAAATCATTGTGGCGTATCAAAATAATAACAAAAATGACTCGGCAATAACAATTTTATTTAACATTATAAAATAAAAAGTTAACATAATTTATAGTTTTTCGCTACTTTTGCAAAAGAATGATTTTTATAAGACAAAAATACTAAACTTTTTTTCAGACAAAATAATTGAATCTGTAGAATTTTTTATTTTCCAATGAATAATAATGAGAGAGTATATGTGTATATTATACAAGGAAGTTTCCTTACTAGAATAGGAAACTACATAAAAGATATTTACCAATTATATACCATATTAAATATATAATAATATATAATAATAATATATTTAACATGCTCCCAATGATACTGACCTTTTTTCCGAACATCCAACCAGTCCCTGAATTCGGAGAGTACAATAGATGGGAACGCCTTGGTAAAAATATTTGTATACTGTAAGGATGACGGTACGAGAAGAAATCGAATAGTCTAAAGAAACTTTATCACAGACCAAGTGAATGTCAACTTCGATATGCTTCGTGCGCTGGTGCTTGACAAGGTTTGCTAAGAGATACATGACACTAACATTGTCACAAAAAATGAGTGTGGAACGTGTCAGCGATTGCTAGAGCTCAAACAGAAGGTTGCGCACCCAACTGACCTCGGCGATGGCATTTGCCACCGCGCAATATTTCGCCTCAGCACTAGATTTGGACGTTGTAAGGTTATCGCCAAGAAATATGCAGTATCTAGACATAGAACAGTGAGTATCGGGACACCCACTCAGCATCATAGTAGGCACGCAATGTGAGAGGGAGAAAGGGAGATGCTGTGCGTGGGAATGCCATGAAGGTAACGTAGGACCCGCTTCATGGCAGTGAGATGCGGCGTGCGAGGATTATGAAGGAAGAGGCAGAGTTGTTGTACCACATAAATAATGTCAAGCCGAGTGAACGTGCGATATTGCAGGGCTCCAACGATAGAACGGTATAGAGTCGGATCCGGTACGGGAGATTGTGCAGATGCCGACATCTTCCCACGTGTGTCCACTGAGTCAACAATGGCTTGCAAGAGAGCATACCCGTGCAGTCAAGAATATCATAAAGGATTTGAGTCCGTGAGAGAAATGATCCATGAGAGGTGCGCTGGATGTTGATTCCCAAGAAGAAGTGAAGATCCCCCATGTCTATCATAGCAGATTCCCCCTGATTTCTGAAGGCGATGATCAGAGGAGGCAGTTAGGATGATGTCGTCCACATAGAGTAATAGATATGTTATTTCAAATCCCCGTCCATAGGTGAGCAAGGAGGTGTCACTCTTGCACCCAAGAAAGCCGAGAAAGAGAAGAAAGCTGGTGAACTGCTGATACCAAGACCGAGGTGCCTGTTTAAGTCCATAGAAAGCTTTGTTCAGTCTGTAGACGTGATGTGGCCGAGCTGGGTCTTGAAAACTAGAGGGTTGTGCTGTGTAGACAGTCTCCATGAGGTGACCATGAAGGAAAGCACTTTGGACCTCTAGTTGATGGATGGGCAACCTGTTGGGGGAGAAGCAACAAGTAGGATACGACACCTACAAGGATCAACTTCAAGATAACCAACCAAACACTTGACCCAATTTACCACAATTGATTAACCAAGCACACAAAATCAGCAGCACATCAAATAAACCACAATCAAATATGAAGAATAAAAATGCAAACGACACACGATTTTTATACGTGGAAAACCCCTTCGATGTGAAGGATAAAAACCATGGGACTTATAGGGAGTCCGCCCTCTTCTTCTCTTATTATGCAAATTGAGAATAAAAACACCCAAACTCAGTCTACAAGGATGTCACAGCCCACCAACAACAACATACATAAAAGGCATCAACAATAGAGAAGGAAAATCAGGATTATCACCCAAAAACGCAGCGTCGCACCAGCTGCTATTACAGAAGATCCGTAGCTCCGATTGATGTGAAAATTGAACAGATTGAAGCCCTGAGTGTTGGGAACAACCTCGGAAAATTTCAGCTCAATCCAACGGTCGGATCTCCCGCGATGATCGAATTTGTGCGGCTGGTCTGTAAATTCTGCAGCAGCCCTTCTCGCTCTCTCTATTCTGTTTTTTTTCTTTTCTGCTCCATCCGTAAGTCCACCACTGCCCAGCCCTTTTACTTCCTTCCTTTTGTTAGTCAACCAAGGAAAAACATAATTGGGCCCTCCACCAAAGAAAAATGGAACCCAAACAAAATGGGCTGGACCCACAACACAACCCTCGAGAGACGGCAAGACTGAGGATAATGCGGATGGTGTTAGAATGAATGACCAATGCTACAGGGGGGGTGAATAGCGTTTGATCGTAGAAATCGCAGGAGTAAAAAATTAAGAACGTGAAAAGTAAAGAGCGTAGAAAGCGTAAAGGGAGCACACCAAGATTTATATTGGTTCACCACAATGTGTGGCTAGTCCAGTCTCCCGAGAGACTCTCTCGAGCTACACTACTTCTGTTAAGCTTACAGGTGCTTAACAAACCGTTACAACCTGAGAACTCGAGTCCCACGAGCCTCAATAACACTTGCTCGGAGATACCGCACTCCAGGATTTCAACCCGAAAGAATTTGCCCTTCCTTCGTACAACCAAGGGAAACAAGCTTCCCTTAATGTGTATACAACACTAAGAACACTCAAGAACTAGGCTCTCTTTAAGAGTAGATGTTGAGTAAAATATACGCTCAAGAACAACTCAAACTTCACACAATTTGGCTCTAAAAGCTATGGTAAAAGATATTTTTTGAATGCATTGATAA